AAACCCCCCCCCCCCCCCCCCCCCCCAAATATTATGTGAAATCCAAAATCTAACCCCCCCCACTCACAATATTATGTGAATTTGGTCCTATTCTTAGATAGAATTGATCAAGTAGGACATGACAAGCTTCACGTATTGTCTCTCTTGCTAATAAATAGTATTAGTGTTATTTTTGATATTTTTATTAGTTTATTGTATTATATCTCTCATTCTTAGTTTTCTATAATGACCTATGGTCTCTTTTGCCTCTAATTTCTTACTATTGTATATCATGTTGTTGTTACTGTTTATGTTTTTGAAAATGTTGTGTTTTTTTTTTTTTATGAGCCGAGGAGGGTCTATTTGAACAACCTATCTACTTGTTAAGGTAAGGTAAAGTTTCTGTACACTCTCCTCGGTCTCCATTTGTAGGACTGTATTGCATATGCTGTTGTTATCTTATTCTTGATTTTATCACTACTACTACTACTTCTACTTGAGTTATCTTTACTATTTTTACTGTCAATACTTTTCTACATTTTCACCGTCATGTTATATCGGCTATAACTCCTTAATCAACGTTGTTGTTCCACAAAAATCAAGGCAAACACAAGATAATTTTGCTAAGGATATGAATATCAATGTTTTCAAAGTAGAACGATGAGTAAATATTAAGATACTTCGTATAATAGAGGGGTAATTTTGACTTTTTCCATAATAAAGTGAGTGAAAGTACTAATTTTGAAAATGTAGGGTATGTAAATTGAGTAGTGCAAATTGTATAGGGATCCAAAAAGAATTTCACTAATATTTAGGTTAAGGTAAAAAGCACGAGATTCTCCCATTATTGGCGCGTGTTAAAAAAACTAAATTGACACCACAGGTGCGTGAAATAAACGCGAACACGACCGCCGGCGCGTGGGGTAAAAAGCTTTTGTCTCGTAGTTTGGCGGGAATTCTTTGAAATGGGAATATTCCTTTAATATATTCGCGGCAAATTTTTGACCTCTAATTAATTAAATTGATTTCCTATTTAGTTTTTGTTTTTTCCTACTCGGTGCTCGTTATCTGTATTGGAGTTAGACTATTTCGAATCTGCACCGCATGGGGCTTCATTCAGAGGGAATTTTTACTATCAAAGATTTTTCCATACCTAAGACTTGAACGCAAGACTTATTGTTACGAAGAAACAATCACATTTACTGCACCATGTTATTTGGTGATAGTTCTAATTATTGATTATGGATGGATTCATCTTATCTTGATCTAAAATTTAGAGTCATAATGTTAATTAGTTTTATTTTATTTATATATTGATGAAGATGTAAGAATGTTCTTTTTCTAATTATTTGATTAACAAAAACTAAGGGAAATTGTAGAGAATTTAAAAGTTGGAAACCTCACATAATAGTTTCCCAAAAAGACTATGTACTAATTATATATATTTCATACGTTATATGAAATTCAAAGTTGTTAATTTAAACTATTAATATGATGAAATAAAATTTCGCCGCAAAAGTTTTGAGACAATAACAAGTTAATTACGTGTTTTGGTTTAAATATTGGAATTGATAATAAGTCGTTGTTATTTAGACTTTAAAAAATGTATTGGTAAATTAGATTAGTTTGATTTGAAGAATCAATCTGAGTAGGTATAGAGCGAGTGTTAAGACCGATTATGTTGTATGAGTTGGAGTGTTGTCTAGTAAAAAAGTTTCATGTTGATATAAGATGAAAGTAGCGGAAATAAGGACGTTGAGGTGGATGTCTGAGCATATATAATATAAGAAGAGATAAGAATGAAGATATTGGCGGGGACAAGGTGGGAGTGACCTGTGTGGTGGATAAGATAAGGGAAGCAAGGATAAGGAGGTTTGAGCATGTGAAGAGGAGAATAGTAGATGCCCTAGTAAGGAAGTGTGAGAGGTTGACAATGACGGGTGTTAAGAGAGGTAGAGACCGACCAAAGTATTGAGACGAGGTGATTAAAGAGATCATGACACATCCTGAACGTCCTGAGAACATGATATTAGATATGAGTGTTTTGAGGACTTAGATTAGAATAGAGGATTAGTTGATAGTTGACATTCTCTCGCTTTCACGTGGGATATGCATGGTGGTTGTACCTGTACTGACTTTCTTACTAGTAGTATTAACAATATTCTCGTAGTTTGTTTTTTTTTAATCTTGGCTATCTCTTGTGTTTGTTTGTGCTTAGGTTATTGCCTAATTTCACATTATTTTGTTGTTGTTGTTGCTTTTTCGTTTTGTATTCTCTTTTTCAAACTGTTTTGAAATGTTTTTTATAGTCAAAACAAATCAAGGATAAGATCTGCGTACACTCTATCTCCTTAAAATTCATATATCGGATTACATTAGATATATTGTTGATTTGAATAGCCAATCCATGAGTGTGCCATATCAAGAAAATAAGGATAAATTGGGACAACTTTAATATTTCTTTCGTTCAACTTATTTGTCTTATTTTTCCTTTTAGTTTGTTTCAAAAAGAGTATATCTTTCATTTTTTACAGTTTTTTACTTTCAACTCTTCACATGATATGTTTAAGACGACAAAAATAAAAAAAAATACTTTGATATATTTATATATTTAAAGTTTATATCACAACCTATAAAAAAATCACTTTTTAAAATTCAGTATCAAGTTAAAACCACGTAAATTGAAACGGAGGTAGTAGAAGCTAAGTTACCTAAAATCAATCAAGAATACCAATATGAAGTTGATAGCCAAACATTCTGCTTGTTGATTTGTTAAGGAAACACATATATCTAAGTTAGAAATCATGAAATGCAGCAATTTTGGTTGTTTCACCAACTTTCAACTAAAATTAACTATTCAAGGGAAAATTCTTTTGGGAAGATTATTTTCATGCAATTCTTTTTTAATCTTAATTGTCTAATTTATTAGATTACACTGAATTTGTTGTTTGCTATTTGTTTTTGTTTTTAGAGAAATTAAGTTAACAATAGAATTTGTAAAGAAAAACAAGGTTAAAGACAAGTGAATTAAGGATCAATCAAATTCAATTTCTTTTGGCTAAACGAGTAAGTAAAGATCGAAAATAAGAATATATGAATATTGCTCAAAGAAAGGTAAAAAATACAAGAATAGAGAAGGTTGATTTAGAGTCTTCTTCCATTAAACCATAAAAACAAATGTTACTAAATAATATTTGTTTAGAGAGTATTGTGCATGCCCTCTCTTCTTATGCGAGGGCTCTTTTATAGGCTAAAAAGTCAATTCTACATTCAGGTGTGAAATGATTACACGTTAGTTCTGATAAAAATATTTTATAGTACGTATATGAGCTCCAACGTTGGGCTCAAGCTTGATTGGAAGTAGCTAGGTTGGCGTCAGATTCAAGGATGATTATATTGTTGAAATAAAAAGAATTAACGTCTCTTCGATTCTAATTCAACCATGTATCATAATCTAATTCATCTATTTGTAAAGCACGATTTTTGTCTCGTACATTATTATTTCAATTGTCCAACTTAATCAACAAACTATATCTGCTGATCTCCTTTTACTCCAACATTCCAAATTAACAAATACCCTTTACTTTGTTTTGCATTTGTTTTAGCATATGATGAGTTAGTCTCTAGCAAAATCAATTCACATTATATTACTTGAAATAAATTATACCAAAATTTTGAAATAAAATATTACTGATTTTAACTAATATTTCTAACTGAACACAAGATAATCAAATTTAATCTAAAATTCGTATCGAAATAATACCTAATTTCTTGAATCAGACAACCCTTAAGTACATTACCAACTAAGTGGTTGAATCAACCACTACATTTGATGAAGTAAAACGAATAAGAATGTTGTTTAAGGATAGTCAGTTGAACATTATATATAACGAAACAAACTAATGAATAACAAAAAAAAATCATATATATATATATATATGGAGAATGACTTGTGAAGCAAGCATGATATATATATAATAAGGGACCATTTCTGCTTTAGTTGATCAAAATTCACAGCCATTTATAGCCTTCTTTCATACTCTTTGTTTCTTCAAAAGTTTGGACACTTCTATTTAATGACTTAACAGTGACACATATGCAAATATTTCCTACTTGTCATAATATTTATTTATATTATATACTATCTCCGTCCACTTTTAATTATCATAATTTTCTTTTTTAGAGTCAAACGATAAATAATCTGACTAACATTTTACTATATATTTTTCATCATATTGATATGCAAAAAATTGCATTTAGTACTTTTTGTATAGTTTTTGAATATCTAAATTTTTTGTTTAAAATATTGAATTAATGTAATCTAATTTCACTTTGAAAATTAGTCAACTTGACTTTCGAAAAGCGCAACATGACAATTAAAAGTGAATGGAGAGTATATATAGACAGTAGGATTTTATATGTACACATATGACATATATATATACATGTAACATACACAATATATATTATTATTATTATTATACATTGTAGTCAATCTTTTCCGCCAACTTGAAATTAATTTTCTTACAAAAATTTGAAAATTGGTTCTAACTACTATTTCAATTTGTTTTTTTTTGATAATTAGAGCTTTATTTCAAGGGAAAAAAGAAACTATCGAAAACATACTCTCTAGATCTGACCTAATGCATCAAGTCAATATTTTGATATTATCGTCACGAAAAAGAGCATTTGAATAGTGCATACAAATTAAACTAGCTACAATATTAAAAGGTAGTTTGATTTTAACATTAACTTATTAATTTCCTTTTTAGCATATCATAACATAGTGAATGAGACTGTTTCTCCCTAAATTAGAGGTACTGAGATCGAGTTTTGATAGGTTTGAAATTTTTTCTGTTAGGAATCACTTACCCTCGAATGAGATCCTACGCAGTGAGAATAAAAATTTGAACTTCAATGCAGAGATCGAACACCAAATGAAATAGGAACAGAGGGGAGGGGTGAAAAGAATATATAAAGAAGTTTGGGGGTGTGAAATGCATATTATTGCTTCTTACGTAAGGAAGAGGCGCGTGGATACACCGTACAGTTGCGTGTGGAAATATAAAATGTTTTAAAAAATAAATATAATAGAAAATGAATGAAGGAATCCAATGCTGCACTGTTTTGCTAGTCTTTAAATGTCGGCTACAACTCATATCGTCTCACGAGTTATTGGAGATATGATATTTCATGGCCAAATGCATACTAACTCTTATAAAATTTTATTAGAGTAATCATCGTTCGTAAAAAAAGTATCGAAATATCTTGAAAAGTGATTAAAGTTTAAAGTTAAGATAACATCGAACATCTAAAATTAAAGTTTTATTGACGCGCTTATATAAAATTCAAGTTAGATAATATCAAACAATTAAGATTAAAGTTTTTGTTGAACGCTTACAAAAAAAAAAATATTAGATAATACGAAATAGTTGAGATTAAATTTTTCATTGACGCGTTTATATTAAGTTCAACGTTTGACGGAAGTCATTACTCTAATCTAATTTAGAATTATCAATTCGGTAGAAAATAAATGTGAAAATAACTATGATGAGGAAAAAAATAACTTTTGATTCAAAAAAATTCAAAATTATTGAATATTAAAGTCTCTGTTGACGAACTTATATCAATTTCAATGTTTTAATAAAATTACAACTAACAGATCAGTAGAAAATAAATGTGAAATAAATCCGACATGAAAAAAGTTTACCTTTTACTACTATAGAATCGTCATTAATTTGATATTGGAAATTTATACAATCGAATTTCTCTTTGTAATAACAAGAAAGAATTATCATATTATAAATACAAAATTTAATTATAAAATATAAAATGTTAATAGTAATAATGTAAAATTTAAATATTTAATATTATAAGTTTCTTCATTCTTGATAGAAGATTTAATGTTTAAATCTTGAATATGAAATTGTCAAATTTAATCAAATGTCAATATAAATTTCAAATATCATATGAAAAATAAATAAAATTACAAAGAAAATCTTCTAAGGATGTTGTCGAGTGGATGTGGCTACTTCTACATTAATAGAGATCTCGGGCTCGAATCATGTGTATTAAAAAATCGTTAATGAGAAGTGCTTCTCCCTGAATGGAACCCTACACGAGGCAAATTTAAAATAATTAAGCTCTAAAACGAATATCAGACATACACGAGGACCCTACATGACGTCAATTCAAAATAATCTAGCTCTAACGCGTCTAACTCTAACGCAGATACTAGGCACACAAGTGAAAAACAAAAAAAAATTGAGAAGGAGCACCGAATGAGATCCTACACGATATAAATTTAAAATAATTGAGCTCTAATACGAATATCAGACAGATCCTACATGACGCGAATTTAAAAAAATAAGGGGATAAATTCAATATATCATGAGATAATTAAAGGGGGAAAAAGTACACATAAAAGTCCCCACCCTCCCCTGTTTTTTCCCCTTCTTCCCCTGTTCTAAAAAGGTCACTACTATATATTCATCTCTCCCCCAATTTTTTCCCTCATTTCTAACAAACAACTGCATACCCTTTTCTCTAACCAACAACTGATTCCTCTCTCTCCCTCTCTTACTCTCTTGAATTTTCTGTTTTTTTTTTTTTTTTTT